ATAATAATAAAGATACTTAGGGTTTTGTTTAAAATTCGTATCTGTTATATAATACCAGTCAATGTTTTTATAATTTTGACTGTGCCTAATGTTTTTTAATCATTATCATGATCATCCTTCCAAGTGCTGGTAAGGGTGTGCTGTTGTTTCCAACTGTAGGCCTATAATCATCTGGCATGACAAAGGCTTGAGAGCTGGGATGGGATACTGGTAGAGCAAGTGCCAATGGCTGCTAGTATACTGGTAGAATGGGGCCATTGCTACCCCCAGCTTCATGGGTCGACAGACAGGGCGTGGTTCACTCTTAAGACGACCAGTGACTTCACTAAAAGTCCACAGAACTGTGGAATAGGTTAGTAATCCACGTAGCCTAGTTTCTTCGTCAGATGCCCTGTTGTAGGGCTTGTGACTGAAAGAGTTTGGATTAGTGGCAGACATGTGAAATGCATGGTTTTTAAACGACAGTGTGGGATTCTGGAGCTGTAGTCCAAGAAGCAGGGTTGTAGAGGAGGAGCCAACACTCTTAGGGACAAATCCTTTGGCCTTTCTGAGCAGCTGGGAGTATGACAGGGAGTTTGCCACACCCATTCCAGGCTGTCCTGTTCCCTCTCAACCTGGCTGCATATCTCAGAGTAGAAGGGAGAGAAATGCAGTTTTCCAGGAACAATATATTGTTGCAGGCGATCTGTTGTAACATTGCATGGTTTGGTCTTGAATGTGCAATGAAGAGTTATTAACTTTATAAAAGACCTGTTCTTCAGAGTGTTATAATTTATAACTGCAGAGATGGAAGGGAATAAACACCTATTCATCTGTCTACTCATTTAGAGCCTCCTTATTGGATGTATGTAGCTAGGGGCACTGTCATGATGATAATGTACACTTTCACAACGGGACTGATTCAGTACAGTGGTGCCTCACTTAGCGATGTTAATCCGTTCCGGAAAAAACATTGCTAAGTGATTTAATCACCAAGTGATATTTAAAAGCCCATAGGAACATATTAAAACGCATTTAATACGTTCCTATGAGCTAAAAACTTACCTTAAAGCGAAATTCCTCCATAGTGGCGGCCATTTTGGGTGCCTCTAAAGCGAGGCAAAACAGCAGCGCCCATTTTTTTTGCGGTGGCCATTTTGAAACCACCGATCAGCTGTTTAACAAAGTTCGCTTTGCCATGATCGCTTCCCTGCAATCATCGCAAAGCGAATTTTAGCCATAGGGGCCATCGCTAAGCAATCACTCCAGCGATGGCCAAACGTCCATCGCAAAGCGATTTCATCGCTCAACGGAGCAATCGCTAAGCGAGGCACCACTGTATATAGAAATTCAAAGCTAAACTCTTAACAACTAAACACTCAAAACTCTCTGCCTGGATGAGTAAAGCTGTCAGATTCACTTGTTCCCACATTTTTTTCTTAAATCAATTTCTTTCTGTCAGATTGATGTAGACATTTGCAATCAGACCAAATTAAACAATCATCTCTAGACAGGACCTTTTTTGCAGAAGCAACCTGATCACAGAATTACCTTGCTAGGGAGATAAGCCCTGGCATTGCTCAGTATATGCTGAGTTCATTGATATTCTATTCATCATTTTGCTGGTTTTTAGTAATGACCTAAAGCATAATTTAATGTACTGCTGTGGAATTTTTATTTTTAAATGTTGTACATTTTTCAGATATTTACCTATGTGTTTTGTACGCCATTTTGCCGTGCTCTGTGAGCAAAAGGTGGTCCATAAATATTTCAATGAGTCAATCAGTCACTCATCTGAGCAAATCAGTTAAATGGTGTTGCCTATGATATGCAAGGCATTTTCGGCTTAGTCCCATTCTTGGATTTCTGACCTTGCAGATCATCATCAGCAGACATGATGCCCGGCTCAGCCTTTGTTTCACATTCCATGCTGGAAGACACTCAGGGCTTAAATAGCAGGGAAACAGTGAGCCGTGACGAAAGGAAAGCAGCAGCATTATCTTACAGCTGAGGTTCTTTTCCACCGGTGCTTTGATAGCATTGGGCTAACTTAAACTGTGATGGATGGCTGCCCTAGTAGATTTGCTCTGTGTGGATGTGGATGTTTGTGCCTGGATGCACATGCTAATGATCTGCCTCATTTTTTTCTTTTACAGATTTACTGGCCAGCACCCGTGGAGTGGAGGGAGGAATGCAACTGGGCTGGCAAAGACATCAATGTAAGTGACCTATTTGGACAGGAAAGAGGACGACCATGCCTTTCTCAGCTTATGATAGGAACCTGGGTGCAAAGTTAAGGGACAGTGGGAGTTACTGGGGAATGTGAGGCAAGCCAGTTACTTCCAGAGGAAACAGACCAACAGCCAGATATTTCTGTTGTTGTCCTATGGTGTTCCGAGAGAGACTAGCTTGAGACCTTTCACCAACGAGCCAAGTCTTCTGCTGCATTTAAGGATCTGTTGAGCATCTCGCAGGCAAGAGTCCTCTTACTCCAAACACAGGTTTTCTCTGCCCTCTGTCTGCCTTGCAAACCAACCATCAGGTCCCAGCCCGGTGAGGCCCTGTGAAGGTTGGTGGGAGTCATGTCACTGTGGAAGAAGGGGTTGGTGTACTTAGAGATTCCAGCTGAGTTGTGACCCGTCTTGACCTTTTAGGAGATAAGGCAAAGGTTCCCACCATTTTGGCAGGAGCAGAGATGAACCAGGACACATTTAGATTTTGTTCCTTGATAGCTGTGGGCGAGCAGCAGGAAAGGTCTCGGGCACCTTGGCTATAATTCATACAGGTTGTCCAGAAAGGGAGCAGCTCTGGGTCAAGCCTGAAAATAACAAGCCCACCAAGAAAATCACCACCATCCTTCTACTTGAGATTTTTTTGGAACAGCACAGACTGAGTAGCATCAGGACGCACAGGACACACGCTGTCTCTCCAGAATCAGTATCCTACACACACACACGCATGCACACGCACACACACACACACACCCCACACCATTCTTGGAAACTTGGTAATCTCTGCTGTATTGCTATTTCAAGCCCTAGAATAGCTTTATATGCCCACTCTCTGAGTTAAGGGCTTGCTACCTGTGGGCCACAAGCAGTTGCCAGACTTCAGCTCTGCCATACTTCACCACTGGCTATGCAGGCTAGAGCTAATGGGAGCTGTAGTCCAACAACATTTGATGGAAGGGTATACGCAAGGACAGCCATGTTCCAGCTAGGGTGAAGTGGCCGACAAGGCTTAAGGGCTTTAGAGCATAGGCCATGGCTGTAATTTGGAGGACTAACTGTGCTCTTTCAGTACCCCTGATTTCTATACTCTATTCCAAAATGTGCCACCCAATGCCACCTTCATACTTGGTGTGAAAGTGGTGTGGCTAGTATGGGTCACATGGCTGGCCCCTTTCAAGGCTTAAAGAGAGGTGAGACTTCGTTACCCCAGCTGGCTTCCTCCCCTTCCAGTGACGTGCTGTGGGTTGGGAGGGCTGCTGTCCATACAAGGACTCTAGTGTGGTGTGTGCTGTTGTTGATAGGTGTTGGCACTTTGACCTGTTATTGAAGCCTGTGGAAGAGTCTGATGTGGTCATGATAACTTCACTGCCATTGTTAATGATTTGTATGATGGGCAGTAGCCAAGATCGGAGAGCCGCCAGAAGGGTGGATGTGCAGCACACAGGCAATAAGTAAGCAGTGTTTTCACTGTGAACAAGAGTTAGGAACATCATTATGATCGTAGTGGCCTCCAAAGCTTTGATAAGAAGCTGCCTAAGTTAGGGACCATCAGTCCATTTTCCTTTGTAATGTCTAACACCATCGTTCCCCCTACCTGGTAGCATCCAGATGGGTTAAATGGCAATGCTCAGATCCACTCATCATCACCATGGACTTGGCTGGTTGGGGACAACAGCGTGTTGTTAGTCTGAGGAACTCCTTGCCACAGGATATGGTGATAGCATCTGGCCTAGATGCCTATAAAAGTGGATTGGACAGATTTCTGGAGGAAAAGTCAATTGCATGTTACGAGCCATGATGGGGATGTATAAAATCTCCAGGCTTAAAAGGAAGGTCTCTCCAAATGCCAGATGCAGGGGAAGGGTGTCAGGAGACAGGCCTCTAAGTTGTCTCGTGTGCTCCCAGAGGCATCTGGTGGGGCCACTGTGAGATACCATAAGCTGGACCAGGTGGGCTCATCCATGGCCTCATCCACCAGGGCTCTTCTTGTTTTTATGTTCTTAACAGGAGTTCTATGGCAGTGCATTGGGTAGGTGGCACTAAGTCAAGAAGGCACCTGGTCAGGTTACGAGCCATGATGGGGATGTATAAAATCTCCAGGCTTAAAAGGAAGGTCTCTCCAAATGCCAGATGCAGGGGAAGGGTGTCAGGAGACAGGCCTCTAAGTTGTCTCGTGTGCTCCCAGAGGCATCTGGTGGAGCCACTGTGAGATACCAGAAGCTGGACCAGGTGGGCCCATCCATGGCCTCATCCACCAGGGCTCTTCTTGTTTTTATGTTCTTAACAGGAGTTCTATGGCAGTGCATCGGGTGGGTGGCACTAAGAAGGCACCTGGTCTTCACTGCCACTGACTGTCCATGGTTTCTGAGAGTGTTCCTCCTGTTGTTACTTGAAGATGGTGGGGATTGAATTTATGAGCTCTGTTCCACTGGGCTGCAGGCCTTCTTCTATGTGGAGGGCTAGATCAGGGCTAGAGTGGTGAATGATTAGTCCAAGATCACTAGATCTAAGGGTTTTTAGCTGGTCATGGGGGCAGCCAGAAGTATAAAATAAATAAATAAATAAATAAAAATAGATCTAAGGGTTTAGCTGGTCATGGGGGCAGCCAGAAGCAGTGTCAGCACACACATTGCCCTGTGGCACACAGTGTGCCTTCTTTTACTAATGTTTTATGGAGCAGTTTCTTGACAGTATACATAGAGAGGAAATGCTCATTTCTCCTTTCCCTCTATCCCCATCAGATGTGCTCTGTTCAAAACAACAATAGCAACAGTACAATTGAATAACTAAAAAGAACCAAGAAGAAGAAAGACTACAATTCTGTGTCAAAAAAACAGACATGAGACAAGACACTGATTAGCTGAAGCCAACTTGATATACAAAGTGGTTAAAAGGCTGGGCAGGGATGGGTTTGAAGCCTCCTGGTCCTTGAGCCAGCCTCTCAGCCTGATGTAACCTATCTTAATTTACAGGGCTGTGTTGTGAGGATTAAAATGTGAAGGTGGGCTGTGTACCCCTCCTTGAGCAACTTGAAAGAATATTGGGATGTGAAGGATAATGATGATGAAGATTAAAAAACAAAGAAAAAGATACCTCTGGGGTGTGGTCTAGGTGCCGTCTAGTTCACCTACCTATCCAGGAATCCAGCCCAAGCACTTTCAAGGGCTTTTGCATTGGTTACTTGCCGACAATCAACTGTGCTGGGTGTGTGGGTGTGGGGGGGGGCTTCATTCCTTTTGCAGGGTGTGTGTGTGTGTGTTCGTTCTTGTGGCTTCATTCCTTTTGCAGGGTGTGTGTGTGTGTGTGTGTGTTCGTTCTTGTGGCTTCATTCCTTTTGCAGGATAGTCTGCCAACTCAGAGACATCCTGGCTGATCCACTGGAGGACCAAGAGCTGAACCCTGGATTTACTGCCATACTGTGAAACCACCCCTCTCACCCCCACAGCCAGCTTTTTTCAGACATAAGAACTATTGCCCTGGTGGGGAGGCCCGGAGAGAAAAAGAGCACCCTCTATGCTCCAGTGAGCAAAAGTCCATTATAAAGGAAGTGCCCTGGAAGCTGAGACTGGCTGAGAGGAGGCTGTGCCGAGGCATTTCTTTCTGCCAGGGATGCTCATCTTGTATTTCTCCCCCCTGTCAACAGCTCTCCATATTCAGCCTGCTTTGTTCATCAGGGCAAAAGGGCAGGAAAACAAAGGACCCCAAGATTGTTTGTCTTCCTGGGCTCAAGAGCGATGAGAGGGATGTGACAGGTCCCCTGCCTTGTTTACTTGAAAACTGCCAGAGAGGAGATGCTCTGCAAGGGGATTCTCTCTCTCTCACTCACTCTCTCTCTCTCTCTCTCTCTCTCACACACACACACACACACACACACACACACACACACACACACGAGAGAGAGAGAGAGAGAGAGAGAGAGAGAGAGAGAGAGAGAGAGAGAGAGACAGAAAAAAAGAGGTTCACACACACACACACACACACACACACACACACACACACACACACACACACACACACGAGAAAGAGAGAAAGAGAGAGCCTCGAAGTGTTAAAATCCAGAGTAGGGACTAAACCAAAGACCTTTTGCAGCCTGAAGCAGAGTAGCTCCCACCCTAACCCTAAATTAAGGCACCTTTAGTTGATGCCATCCAAATGGTTTGCACACAAGGCTGACCATTTCATAAACATCTATCCCCAGTTGTACAATTCCTGTATTGTACAATTATTCTGTAAAAATAAGAGTAATTACAAATGTACATGCTGACTGTTTGCTTGCCTTTCATGATATCCCTTGTCTGCTGCCTGAGATGGCTGCCTCACTCTGCCTATTAGCAGGGCTGGCCCTAGCTGATCGTGGTGCAGTTGATGACAAGGTGGGCACCACTCTCTTCTGCCCTTTCCATAAGAGGATATTGGCTCTGCATTAAGCAAATCAGGCTGCAAGTGTGGGAAGATTCTCCCAAACTGTGTTTCCCTTGTGCTTTAAAGCAACTGCAGCTACAGAGTGCCAGGCTGAGGGCAAATCTTCCCTGCAAAGAAAGGGAATGAATAACAGAGACAACCCCTTTTGTTATGCAGATGAGCCAGAGCCAGAGTAATTATCACCAGATTAGGGCAAAAATCCCAGGTTGTCTTGAGCTGTGTGGAACATGAGCCTGTGCCACCACCCTGGTGTGCTCATTTCGGCGCCGGTAGCCCTGCTGCCTGTAGCAAAGAGGCAAGCTGGCACTAACGGGACTGTGGACTGGGTCAACCGCTTTGGAGCTCAGCTTTCTCTATAGCTGCAGTTTATTTAAATTCAGCTCTACAGACTGCCCACTGCAGCCTGGATTAAGCATTAAGGGAGCATAACCTAGGAGATCACACACCTTTGATTTAAATTAAAAGGCAAAAAGAGAAGTTGGCGCTAAGAGGCTTGCCACTCTAGAGGAGCTCGAGGTGTGGATTAAAGTGAACAGTGGGAGCTGGGGTGGATGGAACGGGGCAGA